AAATGCAGTATTTGAAAGTGGTGCCCGAATTGCAGCATGGCGCCAGTTGTCCAAAATCCTACGGTACCAAAGGAGGGGTTTGGAAAAAGGGTGCCAGGCCGAAAACGGGATGCAGCCGAAACAGCAAAAGATAGACCAGGGATCGAGCCCTGGCGAAGTCCGTAACAGTACCTTGAGATCGACAACATGTCTCGAGGGAATAAAACCATCTACCCAGACAACCTCGCCGATACAAGCGCCCGTGGAGAAGCGCAGATGTCGGGGGACATGCAACGTCCGCCATCAGTCCCACGAGAGGGAGACGCGGGTGATGGCAACGATGAAGATGGAGGGTCCGCGCGGGAGTCCGGGTTCAGTGCAGGAAGCACGGGCGGCGCTGGCAAGAGGAAGAAGATGCGCCAGCAGACGTTCGACGCCATCGCCAAAGTCATGGAGAAGCACGGTACATTGATGGCGGACACTGTGAAGGGGGCAAGCAAGCGGCAGTGTTCTATCCTGGAGTGGCAGTGCGACATACTCGAGCGCGAGGTTGACACCCAGAAGCCGCACTATGAGGCGTCCGACGAGGCGAACCGGATGATGTGCACTGCGCTGATGGAAATCGTGAAAGCCATCAGGGACAGGTCCTGATGCCCCCTCAGCTCTGCGGTCGATCGTGATCTCAATGCATGCGTTGACATTGCATCCCTCCCGTGTTTTCCGACGATCTGCCGCACTGATGGCGCAGAGTTCGCACGTCTTCCTTCAATGGGCGTGGTTCATGGCATAGTCGACCGGTGGATTGCTCACGTAGTTCAACGGTTGTGGCCCTATATATATATATATATATATATATATATATATATATATATATATATATATATATACGGTTTTCGGAAGTAGGAAGTCCAAGCTGTCACGCCGGGAGCGCGTCGGTGCAGGGGAAGGTCTGTTGAAGCAGTATAAAGGTCAGTGCATGTCTGCTGGTGCGCATGTGCTACGCTTCGTTGGCGTTAGTTCCTTGTATCACTTGAGGGTTGTCTTCCACGGCGCCAGGAGTTCATCGTCCACGGTATCGCTAAACATCTACGCTGTCCTCACTGGCGCATCCATCGGTGGCATAGCACGCAGACGCATCACGATCTGTCCGTTCAGTACTGTCCACGCCACGTGGTAGACATACATCGCCTTTTTTTTGTGGCACGTGATTGACGGATCGTTAGTGCATGGCACCACATGGACAGTCCCAGTTGACAAGGCGAGACAGTGGAACCGCCGAAGGCGGGGCCGAGCAAAGCGGAAGGGGCACTTCCCGAAGTCGAAAAGGCCGGCGGTGACGGATTGCAAGGTGCGATGGGGGGGCAGGGGGGAGAAGATATCTTAGGCGTGAACATCCCTTCGACAGGGACGCCGACACTTGGATTTGGGAGAGACGGGGTGAGCAGGGAACATTTTCAAGGACAGGCCACCCTTGTTGTGCCAAGATTCACTTATGGGTGTGGAAGTGGGAGTGATCGTTCTGAAAGGATCGTCATCAGCGCGTCGGCACCACAAACGCCCGTGACTTCAACGGCGACGATCGTGTCCGCTGTTGCAAAGGACCCGTTCATGTGCCACAGGCGTGCCACGTGGAGTCGTCAAGCACGAACACGGTCGGCGGGTCATCGAGGGATGTCGTCCCGTTGTCGCATGCAGGAAGCGGTGGTGTCCATGGCCCGAGCATCGTGGCGGGGGAAAGGCGAGAAGAACGGGGGCCCAGTGAGGCGGGGAGGAAAGACGAGAGGACAGATGACACTTCGCGACGAGGACGACGACAGTCTTCGCACGAAGAAGAAAACAACACGGCAGGAGGAGTTGGAGGCGAAGTCGAAGTTGTGGACAGACGGGAAGACATTCTGGGGAAGCGGATCTGGTCGCCTGATCGCGGACGCTGTGCTCGATTGCGCAGACTACTACTGCGCGATCGTCAATGGTGATGAAGGCGCCACCGCATCGCGTGGCCTGATCATGCCACCCCCCGATGTTCCGTGTTTGCGAATCCAAGATCTTGTGCAGCGAGACGCAGCCCACGCTCGCTCTAAGGATGGACATTCCATTGTGGTACGTGGGGGCCTACATCGAGGACAGGCCTAAGGACGACGACATGGCTGCCCATCAAGAGTCAACGGTTTGACGTTTGGCATCCTGCTTTCACGATGCGCTCCGAGGCGGACAATGGTCGGACAACGAAAAGATGTCTGTGTCGAGGTTGAGCAGATTCGGGGATGCCTTCCGCCTGCTTCTCGCCGCGTGCATGTGGATCATGCGCATGGGAGGTGACAACGTGCGCTCCCATGAGGAGGCGTCGTACTACTCGCAGGTCGTGGCGAAGCCTACGCTCATGGCGACAGGGTCGCAGTCCTTCAGATGGCGCCGCCATGTACTAGAGTCCGCAAATGCAGTTTTGGATCGCCTCGGGAAAGCCGCCCTTGACGATGGGTGCGTTTCCCAAGTACATCCCGGTGTGGGCTTCATGTGGAGTGCGGTTCAACTACGATGCTGGTGTGGCGGACCCCAACGTTGCAGTGAGGATGGATTGGATGGGGAGTGGACCTTGCGATGGTGAGCGGAAGGAGGAGGGAGGTGACCACGAAGAAGCGTCATGAAAGTCGTGGATGTGTCAGTCGTCCACGCCGTGCCATCGTTCTTTGGCCATGGACTTGAGAAATCCGCAGTCGTTGGCTGCTCACCCGTCTTCGTGGTTCGTCAAATTGGGG